CATGACAGGGCCAGTTCTGTGTCCGACACGGCGACCACTTTAGGCTGGGTAGGAGGTGTAGGAGGCATGCACTTTTCTACAATTTAAGAGAAGAATATAATGAAAGTTGATTCATTCTGTTAGCTAAATTCACGCTGATCAAAATGTATGTTTAGTGATTTGTCTGCTCACCGTGAGAGCCAGTGCTGATGTCCCGGGGCATGCTGGGTCTGCCCTCCCCTGCCCAGCCGTACGCACCCACACTGACACGGTACTGCGTGGCCACCTTCAGCTTCCCGATCACCACATCCTAACACACACACATGGGAACAGCTTGCCATGCACAACAGCACCATATGGCACTAACAGAGAATCAGATATGAACATCTACTCACAAAGCTCGCTTGACCATCAAACTGCCCCTGCAAGACAAAACTCATCAAGTCAAATTGTTCACTTCAACTGTGGTATACTGAAGCCTCACAATTACTATGATCTGATCATTCAGAATTTATTATAAAAAATATCTATTTTAAATGTTTTAAAAATGATCATAAATAAAATGCAATTTATATATCTTAATTATAATTAAATGTTATATATAAATATATGAGTGTATAAATAATTATAAAATAATTATAAATATATGTTAAATATATATATATATATATATATATATATATATATATAATGTTTATATATATAAACATAATGAATATCAGAAAACATTATATACACACATAACTAAATCAATGAAGAAATAAATGTATTACCATCTATCTTGGATGGATGGCAAATTCATATATGAATTTATTTATAGTTATCTATGTGTATATATAATGTTTTCTGATATTCATTTTAATAATTATTATATTTATATTAATAATAATAAATATAAATCAGTATACATTTTAAGGTACCTCTGCTGCATCACAAACATTTGTAGAGAACAATAAATATCAGACAGCTCATATAAATATATGTGTGCGCTTTATGATATTCATTGTTCTGTACAAACTTATAGAGTGTATACAAATATACAAATGTTGTTTATAATGCATCAAATACCTATATACACATAAATGTATCATAACCATAAATAAAATATAGTAATTTATTGTTATTTTTATTAGTATTATACCATATAATAAAGAGGTTGTACATACAGTTGTGAGCATTTCTAAACTCAATGGGACTTCCAGGACAACAGCATTGCTGGACGGCCGGTTATTCCTCATCTCCGTGTAAAACACCTGGGCAACAGAATAAATTAATATTTACATGAATATTTTTATCTGGAACCTATCGCTCTCAAATCATTCCTGTAGTGACATCTATACAGCATCTTCACTGGGGCTTGTAATACCTGATACCAGATACCTGAGCGTATTAGCTAGTCTTTATCCCATAAGCAACCATAACAACATTAACATAAGTTAGCAGAGAAATCATAACACTCAATATGATGGCTTTGGTCCCGCCTTCACAAAGTTGTTTACTCAAGAACCATTCAAATACCAGCCGGGAATATTATATTTAATTAAAACTAAAATGAAAACCATAAAAATAGCTGTGTCCCAATTCGCACACTATCCGTCCTAAAAAGTGTCCCAAATCGTAGTATGTTGAAATGAGCATCCCAAAGATGCCCGGATGATCTTGGTTTCCGGTTAGTGCAGATCCGTTCACACTCTAATATTGCCCACAACCCATTGCGTGTTAGACGAGGATTTGATTAGAACTACAAACATGAATAATAAGTGTTAAAGGTTGAGAGGTTTGACTGATTAATAATCTACGGAAGCCCTGAACCGCAACGTAATTTTTTTTTTTTTAAATCAGTAAAAAAAAAACCCACAAAACTAGCATTTCGAGATTAAAGTCGAAACATTTCGAGATTAAAGTCGAAACATTTCGAGAATAAAGTCGAAACATTACGATAGGTCTTCCGTAGAAGTGTGTGCATTCATAACAGTGCGCGTCCACTGGCTCAAAGCGCGCGTGTGTGTGTGTGTTATCTGGGCTTTCAACAAAATTCTACACAGGTGCTAATCTACCAACAAGAATTACCATGGCGTTGCCTATTATAGACGAGCGCACAGACTCCGCCGGAGTATCACAATGGTCCAAACTTTATGTGGCAGTGTTTTTGAAATGTTTTCGTCCTCGTCTAGGCAACACACTATCTGGGTCGAGAACACAACGGTAACCAATTCTGTCTCCCTCTTCACCGTAAATACGTTCTGGATTCTTTTTAAGTGCATCATTCTGTATCCAATCATTTGGCCGGATCCCGTGATTTCCTCAGATTTAATAACCACTAATGGTGGTTGAGGAGAGATTCTCTGATATGATTGTAAAGCGCTTTGAGTGTAGGCCTAGTAGACATATGAAAGCGCTATATAAATGCCTCATTCATTCATTCATTCATTCATTCATTCATTCATTCATTCATAACGCTATCTCCATCCAGTCTGAAAAGTGTTTTCCGGGTTGGTTTTCCTATAGGCTAAACTCTATTCCGGCGCAGTATATTTTATAACGGCCTATAATGGTAGCCTAATGCTGGTTGGCACCTGTTGAATTTCCTTTTGTTGAAACAAAAAACACACACACACACACACAGTGTGAAACAATCGCTATGCACCATTATGAATGCCTGTGTGTGCAGCAATGTGAAACAATGGCAAGCACACACGCACAACTTCTACGGAAGACTGTATTCTCGTACTCTCGAAATATTTCGACTTTAATCTCGAAATGTTTCGACTTTAATCTCGAAATGCTAGTTGTTTTTTTGTTTTTTTACATTGCGGTTTCGACTTTAATCTCGAAACATTTCGACTTTAATCTCAAAATGCTAGTTTTTTTTTTGTTTTTACGTTGCGGTTCAGGGCTTCCGTAATAATCAGTATCTAAACTGACGAAAATATATTTATTCAATGTTATCCACATTATAGTTCATCTGAAAAAAAATTTCAAACTTTTATAAAGATACGTTTGGTCATTAAATTTTAAATGCATCATTATGCAAACCAAGATCAACATGCTATACATTTCTCTCCGATACGGTAGAATATTCAATTAAACTGAATGTGGAGGATTTTAACTGTGGCAAGTGTAAAAATGCACATAACTAAGACACAAAGAGCTTGTACCTTGTATCCAGTGATAGTGCTGACGTGTCTGCGGGGCATCTTCCACCGGACACTGAATGCAGTGCAGTTCACCGTCTCCAGCTGGATGTCCAGCGGTGGACTCAACCTCTCTGAGAGCAACAACAGATCACGTCACAAATATAACACAACATAAATACTACTTTATCATTCATCGGTTCATACATAAACAACATGAATCAACATTAGACCAAAAACAGATCTTGCAGATGCTTACTTTAGCAAACAGCTAATAATTAGTTAATGTAACTCATTCAAAAGGTGATGATGAGAAAGGTCGTAACAAGAAAAAAAAAAGGAAAACAGAAGCATATATTTATATAAAACAGACCAATATTAGATGCATTACAGATGATGCGTGTGGACAAGGTCATTGCTAAATGTCTCGCTCAGAGTAAAAAGTTTAATGTCTACAGCGCAGCACAGTGTGTGTGTGTGTGTGTGTGTGTGTGTGTGTGTGTGTCGCTGCAACCCGTGACAGGAAGACAACACCACAATCAAACCACAAAGATGGCTAGTGAAATATCCTATGGCATACTATGGAAGTCAATGGGGTCCATCTATTGTTTACTGACATTCTTCAAAATATATTCTTTTATGTTCACCAGAGGAAAGAAATTCACCTACCCTATTGTTTCTACACTGTAAAAGTGAGTTTTCAAAGTGGTAAATAAAACAAAGATTACTGGAGTATATTATACAAGAAAACACTATGTGTGTAATGTTGCTGTTTGAGCATAAACAACATCTGCAAAGTTACAATGCTCAAAGTTCAAAGCAAAGGGAGATATTTTCTTTTAAAGAAATCGTTTTTTAAGGACTACAACAAACAGCTGGAAGGGACTACACAACATTCCTCCCGGGTCAGTGACATCACTAACCCTAAAATTTACATAAACTCCACCCCCGGAACACAATTTATAGATTATCATGACAGAATATGCTAATCATTGACTAGAAGATAACTACACATGATAAGCTACATAAATTCATCAACTAACCATACTTGTCCTGTTGCTTCTGTCACTTCTTCCGAGTCTCTCCATCATTGTCTGACTCCAGTTTGAACATAAAAAGGCTAAAAGTTTTTGAAATGTTCAGTGCATGTCTGTGTGTGAGGTAAAAGGACACGAGCTGTTGTAGCTCCGCCCCCTGGGCTGGGAGCAGCAGCTCATTTGCATTTAAAGGGACAGACACAAAAACGGTGCGTTTTTGCTCACCCTCAAAAAGTGACCATTTTAACATGCTATATGAAAATATCTGTGGGGTATTTTGAGCTAAAACTTCACATACACACCCTGGGGACATCAGAGACTTATTTTACATCTTGTGAAAAGGGCATTATACCACCCCTTTAAGTAAAGTGTTACCAAAATTGTTTCTACATGTTTTTCAGTGTATCCCGTGATCCCGTCATCAACTCTTGCTTGCAGGTTTCACTGAAACGCATTATTTATTCCAAACGCATCACTTTCTCCTTTCAAGATATTGCTTTCCCATTAAAATAAACACACATCAAGACATTTCACTTAAAAGGTTTGTAGTCATTAGAAATCGAGTAATTTGATGTAGTCTGACTAATACGCTATTTGATGCATGTTCCATGTGATCTTGCCTCTGATATATGTGTTATGAGTCGCAGGTGTTTGTGGCGCAATTAAAATACTGCCTTCTGAAAAGAAACCAATCTGAACCAAGACTAATCTAAAAACATACAAACAAAGCATGTTACCGGAGCCCAGTGCAAAATTAAACCATAATGCACTGTGAATGTGAAATGAATGTGAAATAACAATCTCAAGTACAAAGAGCCATAATAGATGTAGCAGGCAACTTATGAAAAGCAATTTAGGAAGAATCTCACATAATGATTTTTTCCCCCCATGAAACTTAATACAATATCTGAAAAAACTTTACAATAAGGTTCATCTGTTAACATTAGTTAACATGAAGACAAAAATCCTTCTAAATAATTTATTAACTCTAGATAATGTCAACTAGTACAAACAGTTGCATTGTTAATATTATTTAATGGACCTGAGCTATGAACTAACAATGAAGTTTTATTTTTTATTAAAGATTAATAAACACTGTAACAATGCATTAAATAACAATGAGCAACACATTTATCAAACGTTAACTATAATGGGACCTTATTGTAAAGTGTTATCCGAATATAATTTAGAAATTGCCAGTGAATTTTCAAACATTTCAAAAAGTCGCTTGGAACAAAGTTACTTTGCTTTTTCATTACAATTTTGTGTAAAAATGTCTTAACATTTGGAGTGCGATCAAATGAGGAGTCGAAAAGAGGTGATAAAATTCCAACTGTTTCATACATCACGCAAAATAATGAGAGATCAAGTCAAGAGCATTGCATTGTGGGATACGGTATTTCTTGCAACATGCTTTGTTACTGCACATTTTGAGAAATGCAGTAGCTCATCCGGTATTTTATGCATACTAGAAAATTGTTATACAGTGCACAGTATGCATACTATTTACTGCAGAATAGTGAGATTAGTGTGTCAGCACTCAGAATGCCATTCTGAACACAGCCCATGATTTACAACTCGCAATTGGTTGTCAGAAGCACCTAGTACTATGAAAAGAAAAAAATAATAATTTGAAACTCATATTTGTATTCTTTTGGCAACTTTTAGCATTATTTACCCAAAGCTACAGACAACTTAAAGCCACAATACTTGATTGATTTAATGGGATCCTTAATTCGAGAGCAACCCAGAACGATGTAGATATCATTAAGGTATGGATTTTTAGGCAACAGAAAACGGAGAGTAACAAAATTGGAATTGATGTTTAAGTTTGTGTGACGGTAAGAAAACCTTCAGTGACCAAAAATGTCCCATTTTCATTAACAACTTTGAGTCAATACAAACTAAAGAGAAAAGGCTCCAGGCAAAGATCTTTCTCAACAGATGATGCAATCAAACTTATACGAAAATTACATTTACCCAGACCAAATCCTAATAGTTCACGTACAGTTTCAATCCTTCCACTGTCATAGGGTGGAACCTTGAGGTCTGAAACGAACCCGAACTTGTCTATACGTGGCCGTAGACTTGAATTAGTTAGTCTTTTAATAAATCAAGACCACCAAATTAAATATCGCTTCCAGTTTCTTGGCTATACCACTAAAAAGCGCATTAAGGTTAAGCATCTCCATATACCCAAGGGGACCAAAGGGACAAGCACCAATTTGAAGCATTTCATCTGAAGTGTCAGTTATCAGAGGGCTTGTTTATCTGAAATGACTGATGGTTTTCATTACTCTAAACTGTTGGCTATGGGCATTGGGCATGAGATCGTCCGGAGGGCATATGGAAGTGCCATACACAGCGCTGACCCTGCCGTATGACTGCGACCTCAGATGTCTCTGTGACAAATCACCTGTACATCCATCCATCCGAATAGCCGAAAAGTTTGTCTTGGGTGATTACGGGACATAAAGAAGCTCCAAAAAGTATCCAGACACCTGATGCATGCTTAAAAATGCGAGAATGTCTTGTCATTGCATTAGCAAACAAAATGGTGTCATTTATTTTAAAGAAGAAAGGTCTGATGCAAAAAAAAAAAACGTAGAAATAGTTCAAAATGAAGATGGACACCTTGAGAAGAACTGACAAATCAATAAAACACCAGACCTTGCGTAAAAATGGAAAAATTGTTAGTGAGGATAGCCTATTGTAGGCTATTTAATGCAATGACATCAGACATGTGTGTCCAAATAGCCTATTTGTTGGGGTCAGTGTATTGCATAATCAAATAATCATCATTAAAAACAAAACAACACCAGTAATGAAAATGACACTCACCTGACTTCCGTGCACTAGGCTTTCTTGCGCAGAACGCGATATTCCACATCCACACCAATGCAAGAAGCACCATCACTCTCTTCTGGAGGCACATTTTCAATCCTTTACGATTTTGGAAATACTGATCGCGTCAATTTGAGCTTCAAATGCTGTTGTTCCTCATTCTAAACTCCTGTAGAGAATAAAGCGCTGAAAGTTCGATGTAGCCTGTTGCAGGTCTTTGTATGCACGCTGAATCCGGTCTGATGCGATTACTGTCTGCTGGTGATCACACACACACACACACTCCTCGTGTGCTGGCCCTCAGGAGCCCCGTAGCGCGCGATCAACTCCGAACAACTTCTACATCCACTGAACGCCACGACACACACACGCCCGGCGAGAGTCCGTGAATCACAGGCAGACGCAAAGTTTCTTCTTATTCCAGAGTGTTTTTGAGCGGAGCAGTGAGGAGAGGAGGCAGAGACACTCGGAGTTAAGAGGATAATGGTCTCTAATCTACACAGATGGAGACTTGAGCTCGCTTCAGTAACTCTGACCAATATAGCAACACGGAGACTGGTCGATACAATAGGCTACTAGCACACACTGAAGGATGATGGAGGGAAAGTTTCAGGTGCAGATGAACGGGGATGAATGGACATTAGATGAACTTTATGGTGGGTATTAAAACCACAAGTTTTTAGATAGATAGATAGATAGATAGATAGATAGATAGATAGATAGATAGATAGATAGATAGATAGATAGATAGATAGATAGATAGATAGATAGATAGATAGATAGATAGATAGATAGATAGATAGATAGATAGATAGATAGATAGATAGATAGATAGATAGATAGATAGATAGATAGATATATAGATAGATAGATAGATAGATAGATAGATAGATAGATAGATAGATAGATAGATAGATAGATAGATAGATAGATAGATAGATAGATAGATAGATAGATAGATAGTTTTTCCAGTTGTCCTGTCCATGTTTTCTCTTCTCTCCGTCCTCCTTGAGGATATGAGGAATCTCTTGTTCTATACCGGAAATTGAGGAATTTAGCTGTCAGATTCAAAGCAATCATTTCTTTTATAGAATTGGATGTTTATGTCAAAAGAGAGAGGGAGAGGTGGGGGGGATCAATCATCTGCATTATCTGCATTGTTTTCCCTGCTAAAATCAAAGGAGATTAATTAAGTTTGATGATTAACCAGCCTGATTAGTGACAACATTCACTGTGATTACTGACATTTTAATTTAGTCCACACACACACACACACACACACACACACACACACACACACACACACACACACACACACACACACACACACACACACACACACACACACACACACACACACTTAAGACTGCTTCATCACATAAACCCCACACTCTTAAACAGATATTATATTACATTATATTATAATATAACATATGTTAAAAAAATGTGTTTGGTAAAATTGGTTAAAGTGTGGCTTCTTACGGTTTACAACACCAGGTGATAAGAAGGCTTATGTACTAACTGTAATGGACAAGTGCTGCACTTCCGACTATTGACCGGAAGAGGGAGTCATAGGCTAAAGTTAGACATCCGTTTATCAACAGTTTCTTGTTGAATAATCATTATTTTTTGTCCAGTACATTTCCTATTGTACTGAATTATAATTTAATGATTCCAGTTAATATAGATATGATGTGAAAAAAAATGTAAAGAGGCATCTCATCCTCACAATCTGACAGAAACACACTATCACATACAGCAATGCCTTAATGGCCGAGATAGGAGAAAACAGAATAATAAGCAATAATAACAGGCGATCGGATTGGATAAATCTTGAATATGGTTCAAAAGAAAAAGATTCTGAAATTGGATTAGATCACGTATGTGTTGTTCAAAACATTTCAGTATTGGATTGTGATCCAAAAAAGCAGGATTATCCTGATCCCAGCAAAAGGGTGGATTCAGGGTGGATTTCGAGTACAAAATGTAATGAAACATTAAAATTGGTAAAATAATAATGTTAGAATATATAGAAAACTTACTAATATTTTGAACTTAATTGTTGTTTAACCATTACAGTGATAAAGTAGATCAAGTACATGCACATAAGGCTATCTATTATGTCCTTCTGTACAGTACATTAAAAAAGAAAAGATTTTTTCCCCATAAAATAATCCCCTGCCATTATCAAACAAAATTAAAATATTTACCTTTAACAGTTTTTAACACTGTAGCCTATATTAATCAATGACACAATCATCAGAGAGTCAGAAGTATAGTTTCTAAATTGTGCATTCCTTATTGCATATATTTGTTTGTTTTTATTTATTTGTGGGTCAGATGAGGAACTACGGAGATGGGAGGCAATTATCTGTCAATGTTTTTGCATCCTCTCACAAATGTTGTTTTTTTTTGTCTCAAAAAAAGTTTCCCTTCAAATCTATATTTTTTTCTGTCACCATGTCTAGGGGTCTGACTGTTTAAAGGAATTTGAAAATGAAAGGAAATGTTTGGATCGTTTTATTTTGCTATTTTCTTTCTCTTCAAATAAAAACACTTAAAGGACTCTTCTAGCCTACCTGTTGATCATTTCATATTGTGATATGTGATCCCATTTAGAGCACTAGTAATCCAGATTTGGAAATCTGAGCATTTTTAAATCCACTGCACTGTAGACTATAGACCGGTAGAGGGAGTGTGTGTCATGTATATGAGCGCTGATCTCAAGCTGGAACTGGAAATCCATTTATCAACAGGTTATTTGTTGCCAACCAAAATAATAGCAGGTGGATATAGCCTAGAGGTATTGTATTTTATCCCTTCAGCACGGAATTCTTGTGAAACGAGACAATAGATCACTTGAATATATAAATAATACAATAATTAATATGTGGAAAAAAAATTATAATAACGCTGCTTTCACGTGTTATCGGACATTTCCTACTTCCCACTTCTGAAGTCGTGACTACGAGATAATCGCATTCAAAATTTGACTTGAAAGGGAGATCCTGTCCCCCTTTTTTTTCTTTTCTTTTTTTACCTAGGGAACTAGTATTTATGATATTTCCGATAGCACGTGAAGGCAGCATACATTTCATAATAGAGTTACTGCATATGTATCTTTAGCGATCTTTCTTTCCAGCACTTTTAAATAATATCCAGAAGACGGTTTGCTTTATCCATGATGTCACTCAGCGTGTTTTGACTGAGCGCGCGAACTGTTCACGCGCACTGCACATCGTCACAGCTGGCGCGGGAATGACCTGGACTCAGACTGGACCTGAACAATTAAATAATACAATTAAAAAACATAATCTGATATATTGAAGTGGATGTATAGCAACAATAATAATATATTGTGGATCATATGTTAAACCGCCGTCAGGAAGAGGCTGATGTAGTTTGTCAGCGATGATCCCTGACAGCAGAAGAACACGAGAGCTGAAAGGAAATATAATATGCACTGTTTTTATTTTATAAATGTTTTCGGAAAGCACCTTTGGCTCTGTGATCATCAGTGCTGATGGCAGGATACACAGAGCTGAACTCAGGTGAGTGTATAATCATACATCCTTTTCAATGTTTTTTTAAAAGCATCATTGATCACTATTTTTTTAGTTTTTAAGTTTTAATTTTAAATTGTATTTGAGGCTATATACTACTATTTATTCTACTACTAATGGTGTTAAATTAAGTTAAATTATTATTATAGTAACCAGGGGCTAAGTGTGTATTTTATTAAACTTAATGTAAATTGTTTTGGGGCTATTAATAAAAAATAAATAATGCTTTATAAAATTAAATTGTTGTTATGTCAAAGTAAATTTAGAAAGTGCTTTTTTATAGTAGGTAGTCGCTAGTTGTGGATATTTTAAATTGTATTTATTTTTTAATAATTTACAATATAATAACACCATATTAAGTTATATATTTAGGATTATTATTGTCATCAATTTAATTTACAAAGTGCCTTTTTCATATAGTGGCCAGTTGTGTTTTTTAAAGAAGTGTTTGGGGTAATAACAACAACATTATACTATCAGTTAAATAGTAATAATTATTATTATTATTAGCCTATATGAAAATGTAATACCTAAGTGCCTTTTTCGCAGTAGCTCAAACTTGCTTGACAGAGAAATTAAGTAAATCAATAAAAACAACTGTAACAACCGCAAAAAAAGCAATATATCTGTCTTAACTGATATATTAATTTAATGTATTGTCATTCATTTTTTTCCAAAAATGTACAAAACCGGGCTGTCTAAAAGTATGTGATATAAATGTGATAAAAATACAATACAATAAAGGCTGCAGTTTAAAGAGATTTATACTCTAAGACGACGGTCTGAGTGAAGTTCATGTGTGTAATGTGAGTGTGTGCTGCCCGACACAGGCTCTCTGAGCTGAGGAGAGAGTAAGATGAAGATCTGGGCTGTGATGCTGGCGTGTGCACTGATGCTGAGCGGCGTGTCGTCTGTCCCGCTGCTTCTACAAAACCCCAAAAGAGCCGGACACTCTCGCTGTCCACAACCACACACTCAGTGTTCTCAAAGACTGGACCTGCTGAGAAAAGCCAACCAAAATCTGCCTGATGCTCGTACCATCAAACATCCGCAGCCAAGAAGTCCCTCAGGTCAGGACAAGCTACTTGATTCTTATTATTAAATAAATAAAAGTCACACGAATACACACAGGTGTGATAAAGCGCGTTTCGGGACACACCTGATACTGTTGTGGTGGTTAAGTAAAGAAGTTTCAGGTGACCCATTGTACCTGGGCGGGACACTAGACACACACTACTCTAGTTCTATCAGCTTACAACTCATCTACGTTTAGAAAACCTGTATTTTATCTGGTGCCTGTGGACAAAAGCAGTATTGTTGCTAAAAGCTGTCAGAATAATGCAAACTATATCACGTTATGGCTCTTTGATCGCTCTACTCGCACTCTCATGGTTATCAATGCGGGGTACCGTTTCACAAAGCACATCAAAACACTACCGTCTTTACATACTGTCAAAACACAATGTGCGATGCACTTTAAAAGGGTCATATCATTTATTATTATCAGTCCTTTTTGTTCTTGAGGTCCCCTAACCAAGGGTTTCTCCAGCAAAAACAAGGATTTAGTTTTACATGCAGTTTACGTTCTGTCTAAACAGTCCTGTCTAATACGTTATTAGATAGAACTGTTATACATAGAAAGTAGACAGTAATGAAACGTTATTAGCGTATGCCGTGTGATTGATGTCCAGTGTTGTTGAGCAGAAACACATAATCATGTTTGGCTTGGTCCCCTCAAAGTTGTGTTGGATTTTCTCCTCAGCGTAAAGGTTAAGAGGCCCGTCTATCACTGGTTTCCATGTTCGTAGAGTTAGTTTCTGGAGTAAATATATAGGCTATAATCTGTGTGTTTACACAGCTTTTTTTTTTTTAAAATGGCGGGTGCTGGTGTTTCTTCGTGTGCGATCGGCCAATCAGCGAACACTAACGTCACGGATAGTTCCTAGTCCTGGCTTAGACCCTACTCTGCTAAATTAGTTCCTCCAAAAGGAGTTCCTTGAACAAAAATTGTTCCTAGTTCTTTTAATGAATCGGTTTGAGATCGAAGTAATGCTAGGTGTTTTGCTATAAATTACAGACAAATTTTTAAATTTATCAGACAAATTACAGGCATCTGAGGACTACTTTATTTTCAGATTCAATCATAGACTCGTTCTTACTAGATCACGTTCGCACAAGCGCACTCTTCAAAAAAGGTGCTTTAAATCTCTTGACAAACCAAAAGACGTAAAGTGTATTCGAAATAAATTATATAGATTCTACTGAATGTCATGTTAGCTTGTTTTTCTCAAGATAAGGATTTATTGAGTCCACATGTCATGCAAACAGTAAACTCTGCTTCTAACCACAGGTCGAGAGCTGTCGTTCCAACCACACAACTTTGCGATGCTTCTTGTGAATGTTCGTTGGAACAATGGTTTCGGGAAACACAGACTTGTTGAACTATGCTGATAACAACGAAACTTGCGACCATTGTTGGCTAACAATGCTTTGGGGAAACGCACCCCTGAGCGGGATTCGAACCAGCGTCTCCAGGATGGTTGGCGGGCGCGCTAACAAGAACGCTAAAGACTAGCGCTCTTCTTGTGGCCAGAGAGGTTTACACGCACAGCTTTAACTAGCTTGCCTCTATTACATTTACACGACAACGTTGTACTAAAAATGGAAAAGTTTTTCCTTTGCGTTCTTGAAAAGTTTCATGTAGAGATGACAACGTGGTCAAAATGATCATCGTTCACATGAATCTCCAAAAACGCTGTATTCTGCTGCCAGGCCACTAGATGGCGATGTCACTTTGTAAAGAAACACTACGCGCCTATAGACGAATCCGGCGAAACTACCGGAAGTAAGCGGGCGCCATTACTGAGCTGTTGCTGGGTAGCGTTGCGCCATTGCCTCCTATTGTTTTATTTGCAACTTGCGTCCACTGGAATAAACAGCCCGCGATTTACGACTGTCACTAACGTTACAACTTTTATAATGTCGAGTGGGAAAACATGTTGGCATTTTGAAAAATCATCGGATGCCAGGCGAAGTAGAAAATACTCTTGAATACCTTTAAAACAACAGAAGGGGCACATTGGGGTAGTAACGTTAGTAACAGTAGCAGCTACTGTTATGTCTGTTGTTAATGTTTGATTTGCTTGACTGTGACAGATTTTTTTTTAAATAAATTAAATTAAATATGCATTTTTTGTTATAATAACAATTATTTAATGACATAAGTAAAAAAGATATAATGAATATTTACATATTCATTATATTTTTTTTACTTATGTCATTAAATAATTGTGCTTAATAATAATAGTGCTCAGCAAAATCTCCTCTCTAGCTATTTTTTTCTATTCAATTAACATGCTATGGTCATTAAATGGCTTTCCTGAGCTAAATGTAACGTTATGTGACATAATTGTTCTCCTGCTGTTATATTGACCTCTTTTTTCATGGTTTAAAAACACTAATTGGTCGATATTATGTATACTTTCTAGCTGTACCTTACCCTTGCCTTTTGCAATGTGAAAATGAGATAATGGACACAAATGAAAAACATGAATTCATTTATTTGATGTCATTCATTTATTTATTGTTGCCAAATGGACAGATCTTTTTATAATTTCCTCGTTAGCTAACGTTAGCCTAGCTAGCTTGCCAAGCTATTTTCATAAATAATCTGTAAGATAGTTTGTACCTTCATCTGTGACTGGAGGCCACTGTCTAACATCATCAACCCAACAAGTCATTCTGCCTGGCTGTAGCTGTCACATAGAGCTGTCATCGAGGGTGCGTTATCACCACAGTCTATGGTTATCATGGAGGTTTGTTTACATACCGGTAACAGCTCAGTAATGGCGTCGCCACAAGATGGCAGCCTACACAGAACGCTCGTCGGATTCGTCTATTGACTGAACATGTAATAGAGAGCCTAAGCCCCTCCCCTCCGCTTGACCTTATTTAAATAATAAATATCTATGGTAGTCAATGGCGAGAGACAACTTATCTTTTTATACCGTCTGAACTGTGCCCTGAATTACACATATGATATTTGTCAATTTAAAAGATAATTCTGAAAGTCAAGAAAGTCGCAGTTTGTCATAAAACAGAAGAGTAACATTTAGTTTTATGTGAAAATCGCTCAATGAACTACATCTCCCGGGAAGCGAAACAACGAGCGAGATCCGCTGCTCGTGTGTGTGCAGTCTGGTACAAAACACTCAGGGATGACGGCGTAATGTTACGATTATAACGTAAGACTATAGAAACAATGACAGACGTTAGCTTCAGTAAAGTTAGCTTCATTCATTGAGAGAAAATGTGCGCCTTTGGGGTTTGTAGTCTTTGTATTTACGTATTTTCACAGTCGTATACCTCGACAGTTTTACATCAAACTGCGACTTTCTTGACTTTAAAATGTATCTTTTAAATTGACAAACATTATATGTGTAATTCAGGGCACAATTCAAACGAGATCAAAATATTTGTTGTCTCTCGCCATTGACTACCATACAATATTTTTTCCGAAATAAGGTCCCATGGTGGTCGACCGGAAGGGGAGGGACTTAGGCTCTCTATACACGTGTTCGCATTTTTGTAGTTTACAGGGAGACTATCAGTATGGTTTTCCAAAATGTGTATTTAGGGGGCATTTAAAGCTCCAGTCCGTAACTTTTTTAAGTTAAAAATAATCCAAAATAATTATATTAAAAAAAACTTATTCTGCCAGTGGTCAAAACTATCTGCTTGCCATAGCTAGATTCAAAGCGGTTAGCTTGTAATAATGATTTTAATTCCAGTGGTACTGGTGGGTTTCCGCGGGAAATTCGAGCATGTCTTTGCGTCATGACGTCACACCCGTACACATAAAGAAGGAGTTTCGGCTAGCCGGCTATACTGCGCGTGACGAGATGTTTAGATGTATAGGCTTTTCTCGCAGCACTTTACATGATTAAACTTATGGCATCCAGAAAGATCCAAACAACAATCATCAGTGTCAACTGGAGATTCAGCAGTTATAAAACCCAAAAGACTTTAAGGTGGCTAGAGAAAGAGAAAGAAACCGTCTCATGCGAACACAAGGATTTAAACATCGGCGGGGCTTTTGAAAAGTGTGTGAACTCCGTGTTTTAAAGGGGTTCAAAACGGAAGAAGAGACGGCTTTTTTCTGCTGAACAAGTAAGACATTTCAATAGTTCAATCGTGTAACAGTACGTTTTCTTAATTCACACAGTTATGGAGTTTCCTTTGTTGTGCCTTTCTCGTTTTGCCATTATGGAGAATATGAATTCTGAACTACACAGGTAACTGCTAACCATAAAACACATTACATTTAACATTAGTCACGCAATGCTGATGTTGTTAACATGAACAATTTGAGAACAAAGTAGGCTATAATTTGCACGGTTGCTGTAAATCGCGTTGATTAAATCTAACGAAGCTTATCATGTCGAATGCTTTTTCCCCCTTAGTTGGTCAGAACAAAAATGGATTTTACTTACTTGTTCAGAAGACATTTTCTTATGAAAATTCTTATGTTGGTCAAACTTTCAAAAAGTGAATCTGTGATTCTGTATGCCAGTATCCACACAGCGCGGTGACTGACAGCACCACTCGCCTCAAAGCACTGTGTTCATCCGCGCTGTTTCATGCCGATTTACAACCCACGTAAAGATGATAATTCCGCGAATCACTGCAGTTACAGATTTCGAACAGAGAGATGGCGACAAAGAGGAAAAGCTACGGACTGCAGCTTTAAACGACATCATTTTCAAGATATGTCCCTCTCAAAGCTAGCCTGGGAAAACCCAGACAACTTCCGGCAAATTTAGATTTGCTCTGAAAGTTAGTCTGGCAAAGAGCTCATTCAAGCCCATTTCCAATCCGTCGAAATCGAGGCACCAATCGGAAACGTATGGGCGGGCTTTACACGATGACGACAGCGCTGGGATTTTGAAGCAGATTTTGTAGCCTACATTACAAAGATGGATGCCGCCGTCGAACATCACTCGTTCGAATCAGCTATCGCGTCTGTTTTAAGCGATTTGAACGTTTCCTTTTTGTTAAAAACGGAGCAAAGAACAACACTCGGCCGCTCTGCATACGTCATCTCCTTCATCGCTCTGATTGGGTTTAGGTCTATCCGCGACGTCCATTGGTGACGCCCCTCTGGAAATGATTTGTCTGTGACGCTTTGCCAGACCATAACTCAGTTACAACTGAGAATGGTCTGGTTTTAACCAGGCTATCTTAAAGCAAAAAGCATAATCTGTCCACATAAAACTTCCTTGTTCAGGTTCAGACTGCTCAAATTTTAGCCCATTGCTTTAAAATCAGATATATCTGTAGTGTAAACTTGGGAACATCTCTTTCCTCTGTCCTCAGACAGCTTGCCGGCTCCCGACTCAGCCTTCATCCACAGATTCAAGAGATCCCTGAAACGGAGAGGTTTCCTCCGTAACAGGATGGACAGAAAGAGGCCAGGTCGTGACGAGAGAGAGAAAGGAAAAGGCAGAGCATGTGCACTAAGACAAGTCCAGCTGAAAGTGTCAGATCTGGGTTTGGGCTACAGGAGTCAGGAGGAGATGATATTCAGCTACTGCAGCGGCGTGTGTGTAAACTCACTCACTAACTACGACAAAATCCTCACCAGCCTCGCCGGCGGTGATAAAAACGTTCTGCACAGCTCGCCTCCCACCGCCTGCTGTCGACCCGTCCAATACGACGACGACCTGTCCTTTCTGGATGACAACCTGATATACCACACCATGGAGAGGCACTCGGCACGGAGATGTGGCTGTGTCTAAGCAGCTGTGGGAGACAATGACACAAGACTGGAAAATCAATGGAAGCAATTTCAGGTTATTACATGTGACTTGGTTGAGGGAATCACCATGATTGCATTTCTCTGAGAAGATACAGGATAGGGAATTTCAAGAAAGGTGTTGCAGGATGTTATAATACACATACAGCATGGTGGTCTCCTCAACAGGGTTTTCAAATGAGACAATATTTTGTGTGCTGCGTGTTTTTAAAAGTTCTTATGGTGTCTTTTTGACCTTTAACCTCCACTAATGTGGAGAATTTGAATTTTCGCTGATTATGTTCAATGTTAAAAACAGAACCCAACTGAATGATTTGAATCCCTATTTATATATATATTTAAATACGTATTTATATGTTTTTCCCCTAGTTATTTTTTCATTGTTATTAATTCTGTTTAATTAAAAAATACCTCATCTTTACATTGTTTCACAGTTTTCAGTAAGATAGTCTTACAAGTTAGTCATCAATGTGTTTTCTTTAAGACTGTTCAAAAGTTTTTTGAGTCAGTTACATAAAAACATAGATTGGTCTAATTTAATACCGAAAAGTAAGACCGAATTGATTACCCCTTGACTCAGTGAAGAGCTTGGGTTTGTGGAAGAAAGATGTAAAAATAGAGTGATGATGGAAATGATTAAGAAAGAGACTGAAACCAGAGATATGGAGCGTGTTCGTGACCTGATCTCTAATTCAGTGTCATCACACACCACACAGGACATCATTAATACACCCGCCAACAAGAAACAACCTTGTTAATGCCATTACCTCAACATGACAAACACAGGCCCAGGTCAAGAGTAACATTAGTAATTAGTCATTAGCTGCTGTAAATCTGTAATGCGAGCACTAGACAGAGAAACAGGAGAGGGAGGCTGAATGTATAGAGCGTAAATGTTGGGTTCTGGAAGTAAAAATCCTCTTCGACTGAGAAATCTTTTTTTTTCTGATATGAAACTAGAACAGATCTACCATGAGCTCTGAGGTTAAGTGATGGGATATGCTTCTGATATGTCACAAGACAAGTTTCAAGATCCACAAAAGAAAAAGAAAAAAAAAAACATTTAAAAGTTTGGGGTCAGTAAGATTTTTTTAAAAGATTTTGTCACTTGTCATACACATGATTTAAGTCTTTACACTCACCGTGGCTGCATTTATTTGATCAAAAATACAATAAAACTGTAATATTGTGAAATATTATTACTATTTAAAATAACTTTTTTTAAAATATTTGAATCAATCCAACCAATCAGAATCCAGGACTGGAACTAACCGTTGTATTATTCACAATATGAATTTTTTTTACTGTTTTTTGATTAAAAAAATGCAGCCTTGGTGAGCATAAGTGACTTCTTTCAAAAATATTTGAAAATCTAAATTATTCAAAACTTTTGACCGGTAGTGCATACATGTAGCCTATATTGTAGACACATTTGTAACATTCCAAGTTTAAAAATGTACTTATTTTGAAAATGAATGCAAATAGTCTAAAAGTAATACTGAAAGAACTACCCTTTCATATACTTTATTGCTTTGAGTCAATTTTTTTTTTTTTATCTGGTTGGACTTTCTAAGGTTTTCTGAAATGCCAAAGCCACTAGCTAGACCTTGCAGTCTCGTCTCACTGCCTGTATGTGGTGTGAAAACATATCTTACCCTTTTTCTTTCTGTTCAGCTTCAAGCTCAAAACTGCAGCTAGAGAGAGAGAGATGTAGAGGGTATTCCCAATTCATTTAAACACATCTACTCCTCACTGTATGATTCATTTAATATGCAGTACAGGGAATTGAGACAACAGGTAAGCAGACCATGGTTTCTTCATTGATGGGAAAGTATAGCATGTACACCAGCATTGGGACATACTACATCATCATAAACATTATCTTAATACGACAGGCCCACTTGTCATACACTGCTCACATTTACATGTAAACATGTATAGCTAAATCAACAACTGGGCACTTATCTGTTTCTTTCATCAGTATAAATCACGTATTCTCTCCATCATGCAGGCTGTAGCCAGTCATAACATGCATTCTTCTCCCAGAATGACGTGTTTCCATTGCAGCAAACACCTGTTGTCCTGTTTCCAGCACCTGCTGACAGGTAAAGCAATGTGACGTTCTACAGCAATAACTAAAAATGACACCAAAGAACTTAGATTAAGTTTTGCATCCATACTGTTACATAATGTACTTGTATAAAATCTTTTTTGGACTAATGACATTTCACAGGGGGGGGGGGGGGGGGGGGTCATGTTATTTGAACATGCCTAACTTTAAAAGTTTCTTCAATTTGGTATAGATAGACTGATCATGAGCCGAAACATTATATGACCAGTCACAGGTGAAGTGAATATCGTTGATCATCCTAATAAGGCCATGTATTGGGTAGATTAGATGGTAAGCAAACAATCAGTTCTCGTAATCAATGTTGGATGCAGGAGAAGTGGGCAGGAATAAAGATCTGAGCGACTTTGACAAGGGCCAAATTGATATGGCAAGGCGGTTTAGAGAATCTCTTAAACAACAAGGCTTGTGTGTTGTGTTTTAGTGGTGAGAATTGACCAGTTTACAGTGTCCGAAGAGGGAAAAACCTCAAAACTGCGACAGGGTGTTGGGCACACAAGGCTCATCGAAGCACGATCAAGGGCAATGAAGACTATCCCGTTTGGTCTGAGCCAACAGAAGGTCTACTGTGGCACAAGTCACACAAAATTTTAAAGGGGTGGTATAATGCCCTTTTCACAAGATGTAAAATAAATCTCTGATGTCCCCAGAGTGTGTATGTGAAGTTTTAGCTCAAAATACCCCACAGATATTTTTATATAGCATGTTAAAGTTGTCACTTTTTGAGGGTGAGCAAAAACACACCGTTTTGTGTCTGGCCCTTTAAATGCAAATGAGCTGCAGCTCCTGACACAGTGGGCGGAGCTTCAAGAGTGTGGCGTTAGCAGCTCCGATTACCTCACGCAGATACACTAAAATGACAGAAACGGTTCTGTTTTTTATGTTTAAACCGGAGTCAGACAAAGATGGAGAGACTAAGAAGAAGTGACAACATGTAGAATGCAACAGGACATCTTTGAATGGTTAGTTGATGAATTTATGTTGCTGAATGCTGATGTGGAGTTAACTATCTTCAATTAGCATATTCTGTCATGGTAATCTATAAATCGCTTGTATAGGAACTGTTGAGTGACTTTCTATTGCATGTGAAAAGACCTGACTCACAAATGTGCTGGACTACAACAGGTCTTCCTCTTTACATGGACTGTGTTCCCAGGGGCGGGGTTTATGTAAATTTTAGGGTTAGTGATGTCACTAACCCGGAAGGAAGCTCTTGTAGTTCCTACCAGCCGTTTGTTGTAGTCCTTAAAAAACGATTTCTTTAAAAGCAAATATCTCCCTTTGCTTTGAACTTTGAGCGTTGTAACTTTGCAGATGTTGTTTATGCTCAAACAGCAACATTACACACTAACTAGAGTTAGAAAAGTGAAATCATAATCAACCACCCCTTTAATGATGGTTACGGGAGGAATGCGTCACAACCATAGACTGTGGTCACAACACTTGTGTAGCCACAGACCAATCAGAGTGTCTATGAGCCCTGTCCACCATTGAAAGCGCCTACAATGGGCAGATGAGTGTCGGAACCGGACTTGGAGGAGTGGAAGAAGGTCGCCTGGTCCGATGAGTCCCTTTGCCTTTTACATCATGTGGACGGTCGTGTACATGTGTGTCGTTTACCTGGGGAAGTGAAGGCACCGGGATCACTGTGGGACGACGACAAGCCGGTGGAGGGAACGTGATGCTGTGGACAATGTTCTGCTGGGAAACCCTGTGTCTGGCCATTCACGTGGCCGTAAATTTGACACGTGCCACCGACCTAAACATTCCAGACCAGGTACACCCTTCATGACAATGGTGTTCCCTGATGGAAGTGGGCTCTTTCAGCAGGATAATGTTCCCTGCCACACTGCACACATTGTTGAGGAATGGTTTGAGGAACATGATCAAGAGTTCAAGGTGTTGATCCGGCCTCCAAAATCCCCAGATCTCAAACCAATTGAGCATATGTGGGATGTGCTGGACCAATAAGTTCAATCCATGGCAGCTTCACCTCACAACCTACAGAACTTGAAGGATCTGCTGCTAACATCTTGGTGCCAGAAACCACAGGACAGCTTCAGAGGTCTTGTAGAGTCCAGACCTCGGCGGGTCGGCGCTGTTTTGGCAGCACAAGGAGGACCAACAGCATATTAGGCTGGTGCTCATGTTTTGGCTCATAGGAAAGGTTTCATTTAACAGGTTAACAGAACAACATTTCTGACTTCTAAAGTCACATGAGGCAAGATATTTTCAATCCTAAAACGTAGCATATATTTACATTCAAACATTTGGCACATGAATTTATTGCCTTTTAAGGTACATATTCTTTCAGTTCATGCATTCCCACAGAATCGAACACTTGTATGCTCTACTGTTTAAACTACAGGAAGGAAAACTGGAGCCGTACAGGAGCAGAAGCTTTCCTGTACAAGAGGACATAAACAAACCAAGCCACATTTGAAAGAAAAAAAAGTAATCCTGTAGAATGCAGTATTCAGGCTTTTCACAGTCATCGAAAACATGGATTCAGGGACTTCCTACACTTGACAAAAAATTGATGCACATCTTGATGGAAATAACATCACAACATTTATTTCCATCAAGAGTTGCTTAAAGTTTTGGTCAAGATCTTGTATTGACAATGCAAGAGTCCAGCACTCTGTAAAGTCTCCTCCAGCACATCCCAAAGACTTTCAATGAATTTAAGCTCTGGATTAATGTGTGAAAATGATTCTTCATGATAACCATTCCTTCACAATTTGAGCCTGATGAATCTAGACATTGTAAAACTGGAATATGGCCATGATGTGTCTTCCTACATCACATGATTGTTTAAGAAATGAAAAGCTACACACTCCATCAATTAGTGTTAGAAGAACTGTTGCCAAACATATAACATGCTAGAAACATAATCACTGCAATTATGATCCAATCATAGACTCTTAACATTTGCCTATTTAAATCCAAACAGTGACTTTTTTTTTTTGGCTGGGTAGTGTATAATGCAATACAATACAAT